ATGCTTTGAGTTGTTGTATGTGCTTTCCCATCCAATTCATTAACTTAAGGAGAACTTGAAGGTTAAAAAAGTGTTGTCACAGTTAACCTGGAGTATTGAGTTTCATGACTTGTTGAGAGAAGCAATTGGAAATCAATTTGAATGCAAGTGTGTCATGTGTGGAGAAGAACTCCCTAGTTAACCCATCACCCATCAATTCACCTAAACTTGTCTAAGAATCTGTTTAAATTGTTTTTGTTTTGCTTTACTTATTTTCGTCCAAAACCAACCCCCACTTTACTTTATTGAGTCATATTAGTTAGAACTTGTTTTAGATTATGTTTTTTAAGTGTTTTGAGTCAAGATATAATCAAATTTCGTCCAAAACTTTGTGTCAGTAGCAGAAACTGCCTTAGTGTTGTTTTTAGGCAGTTTTGAGTCTTTTAAGTTTGTTTTGAGTCTTGTGAGTCTTGTTAAGTGTTTTTAAGTTTATTATTGTGTTTCTAAGTCAGTTTAGAGTAGATTAGCAATTCCTCCTAATCCCCGGTCCAGAACGATCCCTACTTATCCATACTACAATTGTCAACAAGAGAGTTTAATTTGTGTGTTAAGTTAATTTTCGCATCAGCCGTTTAACTGTGTCAATGAAATAAAAGAGCAACGTGCAGTGCAGTCAAAGTGATGTTTTGGGCTTATTTCAGCTTTTTAGCATCCAAGATGGTGTCTTTTGGGTTCGAGACCTTCTGCAATTATGTTTGGGACATCTCAAGCTTTAATTCTAGCCATTTTGGGCCAATTTTGGAGCCTGAATGTCCAAAAAACGTGGCTGATTTGTGGCTGGGCAGATTTCTCATATTTGATTAGGATTATGTTTCCTAGTTTCTCTTAAGTTATCATGTTTCCTAGTTTTTAGAAGACATTTTCTAGTAAGGATTTTAATTGTGCAGTAGTATAAAAAGGCTTTTTAGCCATTAGGGTTTTTTGAAAAAAAAAAAAAGGGAGAGAGAGAGAACACACTACTTTGGAGAACTCAGTTTAGAGAGCTTTTGAATTCAAGTTTATAAGGTGTTTTCTATTCATGTTCTTAATAATATTTTTGTTTTATGGTTGTTCGTAACTAATTTATGTTTGCTAGGGTGAGGCCATGAGCCTTAGCAAGAATATGTTGTTTCTTTTCAATTTACTTATGATATTATGCATGTAGGTTTTGAATTATTAATCATCGTGTTTAAGCTATCTAATTGTCTTAATGATTGATCACCATTAGGATATTTGGAAAAGTAATTTGATACAATTTTGGAGGAGGGTTGTCCCTAAAATTTACTAAGGCTTATTATGGCTAATATGTGTAACTTCTTAGGATGGACAACACATCTTACGGGTTATATGGCTTTTCAAAAAGTTTTTACAAAACTTAATGAGTCTTGCATGTTCACATTCGATCTGGACGCCATGGATGGGTTGCATGTTAGATATACGTTCTATGTTGGAGGTTCAAAGTAGGATATACTTTAGGAAAACCTAACCTTCAAAATTTGCATGGGTAATTCGTAAGCAATTGGAGGAACTACGTAGGATTGTTAAGGTGACGACGGAACCCTAGTGCTTAAATTGATTTTTAAAATTATTTTCTTTTGTTTTCTTTACTTTGTCAATTTATTTAATTGTTTTTTAATTAAATTCATTTTTGTTGTAGGCATAATTTACTAAACAATTATGGAGCCCATAGAGAGAGGGAGAGAGTGCGGCATAGAGAGGGAAGAAGAGAGATATATAATTGTGGGTGTGTTATATTCCACCCCATTATGTCTTTATTTATAGTAGTAGGATAGGTAAAAACCTTTCCCTTTAGGATTACAACATTTAATAGTTAATCTACTCCTAATAGGAATATAAGAGATATTCCAAGATATACTAGGATTTACACAACCACATTCCTAATCTAATAAGACTGCAACACTCCCCCTTGAGTGTGTAAATACTCAAGTAAATGGCGCATCAAGTCTTTAATGATGAAGTAAGTACAGTTGATGAAGCCATTGACACAATGAGCAAATGCGATTCTCAAATCAATGGAAGAATGCATAAAAAGTAAAATTCACAAAACCTCGCTATGGTAAAACCCAAGGTGGGAGAAAAAACCCATAGTCTAGGGAGAAAAGTGAAAAGTTGCATTAAGTCAAAACTATACGTCTTTTGAAAGTAGAATAGCTCACAAGGGTATGATTAGCCCAGGATAGGTGTCTCGTTAAAACCTAGTTAGGTAGCAAAAATCTAGTGGGAAAAAAATGCTCATAATCGTAGGGAAAAAGAGTACATTAAGATCAAGTGAGTATACTTCTGGATACTTCCCCTGAGTTTGACATAACTTCCGAATGAGAACTACAAGCATTGCATATGATAGTTAGGCATACCAATTCCTAGGACAAGCTTCTAGAAGGTTGATTTCGGCAGTGATGTCGTGTAGAGGTCGGCAAGGTTGACTGGGATCGGCTTGCATGTCTTCAATCTCCTGATGTTGTGATGATGTGATGTAGATGCCATATGTCTTGGTGTTGACTTCGTTGATGTATCATGGCTTGGTCTGGTTGATACATGCAACACAGTCTTCATGGATCGTTGTCGGAACTCAACTAGTGGCAACGTATGGTCAACATATTTGGGTTCATGACATTGCGTAGAATGTTTTCGTATATTTAAACCCTCTGTTTGAGCAAACTATAGGGGAATTTCCTAGCCTTTTCGTGAATGTTTTAATTAAATAATTATTATAATTGTTTCACATATAAGAGAGAATTATCCCGAAGAGCTTCGAGGTCAAGCAAGGCTAGGAGGTTACGATCTGACTATGTATCAACAGTGTTCTAAAAATCGACTTACGCGCTGGGCGTGGTGGTGCCGATACGATTAGGTCCGAATCATTAAGAAAAATTGGGGAGCTGTTAGGTGTCCACCTAGGCACTTTTAGGCGAGCTGGGAGGAGTGAAATGATTAACTGGGAAGAAATTCCAAACATACCCAGACTCACTAAAGCTTTCTCCCTCTTCAACTCCCTTTCTCTGTGCACCACGACTTTCTTAGTTGTCACGACTCCTTCTCTTTGAAATCCATCGAAGAAGAAGCACTTACAGCTCAAAACAGAAGAAAAGGAAAAAAAATGGAGAATTTACAGGGGGAAAACGGAAAGAAAAACAAGAAGAAGAGGAAATGGAAGAAGACAAAGATGATGAGGAAAAGGAAATAATAAAAAGAATAAAGTTCCGATTTTCTAGGCGTCAAAGTGGTCTCGGGAATCTCTAACTCTCTCTGCTGATGTGAGGGATGGGGACTAGGGAATAGGGATGGAGGGGAAGGGTCACACCACAGTGACCACACACGTGGTGCTTTATGAAATGAGGAAGGATGCATGCACCATTATGAACCAGCCAACCACTTTTATATTTTAAAAATTAGATATAATCATTCAAAATGTCTTAAGTTACACGGCATATATGTTTATTGTGTTTTTAAATTTTAGATTTGTTAAATAATTTTTTTTGTATTTTATCATTCTTTTATTATTTTATTCACGAATTTCATACAAGTATAATTTTTTGTAAGTGTCAATATGCACTTATTTACAAGATATACAAAAATTTTACCTAAATCCGCCTAGGTGCCCGCCTAGACCCCGCCTAGCTGCCTAGGTGCTAGGAGCCAACACACCGCCCGACTAGCGCCTAGCGTTTTTTAGAACCTTGCGTATCAATGAGTAGGCATTTGTTTTTTTAATATATATATATATGCCTATCATGCCATGTTTTTATTTTAATTTAAAAGTGTTATTATTTGCTCATCATCCATGCTTGCACTAGTGTAGTACTCGCCATTGGTCAGGGTCATGCTTCACATGTTTTTTCACATCGCACCAACACGCTCACCTTAGATCCATTGTAGGTGACAGTCCTATCTTAGGTTGCAATAGGCAACTAGGACTCTTAAGTGATGCACCTAACGCCAGTCTTCACGTGATTGTAGTACTAGAGCGTATATTATGATTACATCCAGTGGCGGATCCAGGAATCTTACCCCAAGGGGTCGCAGTGTAAAAGTTCAAATAAAAATTTAGGATGGAAAAACATATTGAAAATGAAATCATAGTACTTTCATTCATAATTCATAATGGAAACAATATTACAAACTATAATTGTCCACGACGAGGTTTCATATTTTGAAAACGAAGCATTATAGCTTCATTTTCAATACAAGCAAAAATATCTCTCTCAATATAAACAAGCAAGCTATCACTCAACCATTGATCTCCCATTTTGTTCCTAAGTGGACCCTTAACAATATTCATGATAGAAAATGCTCTCTCCACTGAAGCAGTTGCAACTAGTAAAACTAAAGACAATGTAATGAGCAAATATACATAATTGAATACTTGATGCATCCTTGTCTCCACCATTTTTTTTGCAAGATCACCAATCCCTTCCAATTGAGAGAAATCACTACTGGAACACACATAATGAATATAAATCTCAAGTTGATCTTCAAGTGCCAAACGATCTTCATCCGAAAAGTCTTGAGGATAAAATTGAGCAAGACGAAGTAACTTTGGTTTATCAAAAGCTACAAATGAATCTTTCGGACTCAAACATGCCATACAAATAAGCAACTCGGTATTTACCTCATTAAAGCGATCCTATAACTCCGTAATTTGCTTATCAATGACATAAATAAAGAGCTCCACACGATAATGATGACGATTTGTCTTTATTGGAGCATAACGCCTTGACCTCCCTGGAAGTATAAATGCCTCTTCCATGTTAGGAACATCAATATGATGTTTTTCACAAAAAGAAGATACTTCATCAACCAATGCATCGAACCCATTATTCCTCATCCAATATAGCTTTTCCTTGCATGATTTCACTAAAGCCATTGCATTCACAATTTCTTGATCTTTCCTTTGCAATGCTTGTGACAAATCATTTGTGAGTCCCAATATGACTTTCATCAAGAAAAGGTGAAACACAAACTCAAAAGTAAGTATCACTCCCATTAACTTATATGCTTCACCCGCACTTTCATTGGGATTATCATCAATAACCATTTGAAGCACATGAACCACGGATGAAAACATAGAAATGATGCTAATCAAGGTACCATAGTGTGAGTTCCATCGTGTGTCACCGGCACGTTTGAGACTTGTTTCTTGATTTAAGCCTCGCCCCGTTATAAGACAATCATTTTCAAAAGCTATCACAAGCTCTTCTTGAAGTTGCCCTCTAAGTGAATCACGCCGCTTACAAGATGCTCCAACATGATTAACCACACTATTAGCCGTTGCAAAAAAAGAGGCAATGTCTATATTCTTCTTTGCTATGGCAACAAGAGCTAGTTGAAGTTGATGAGCAAAGCAATGAACATAATATGCACAAGGTTGTTCTCTCAATATCTTTGTTTTAAGGCCATTCAACTCACCTCTCATATTGCTAGCACCATCATAACCTTGTCCTCGTAGCTTGGAAATGCTCAAACCGTTGCGAGAAAACAATGTGTCAATAGCATCCTTTAGTGAACTTGAAGTAGTGTCGGTAACATGTTGGATACCCACAAATCTTTCAATTACATGCCCGTTGTCATCAACATAACGCAACACCATAGCCATTTGTTCTTTCACAGACACATCACGTGCTTCATCCACCAATATTGAAAAGAATCTATCTTTTAGACCATCCATGATAGCATCAAGTGTTTCAAGGGCACATGAATTCACAATTTCTTTTTGAATGGAATGAGCTAGTAATTTGAGATTCCCCGGAGCATTTTCCATCACAACTTCTCTAACTTTATCATTATTATCTGCAAGGAATTGCAATAACTCCAAGTAATTTCCCCTATTGCTTGAAGTGGCACTTTCATCATGGCCACGAAAAGGAAGACCTTGTCGCAATAAAAACTTAGTGCACTTGATTGAAGCAATCAAGCATGTGCGATAAGCCTTACGAGCTTGGTCAGAGTGTTTGCTCACTGCCGTTTCAATATGTGTAGCTTGATTCATCAAATTTGTAGCAGCTTCTCTAGCCTTATTATGAACACTCCCAACCGGTCCAACATGCATCTTAAATCTTTCTCTCCCTTTCTTCCAATTCTTAAATCCATCTCCAGTGAAAGCTTCACCACCCACTTGTTCAAAATTGGTTTTAAAGAGATAGCAATAGAGACAAAATGCCGCATCTTTAGATACACTATACTCCAACCAATCAAACTCATCAAACCATTGGGGAATGAAGCGTCGATTAATTTCCGACATATTAGTTATTGGCAAATTATGACCTCTAGGTTGACAAGGTCCTTTTTGTAGATATAATCTTCGGACCTCATCTCTCATATTAGAGTCATAATCTATTATTCGAGTTCTTAATCCAGGATCCGCTTGAAGATTACCCCAAAACATCATCTAACTGACTTTGTCTTGAACTTGGAGTTCTTGAACTACCAACAGTATTTGAACTATCAACATTATTCGAACTACCCGAACCCGATGATGACTTTCTCTTAAAAAACCGTTCCATAATAATGCTACATATACAAAATATTCAAAATAAATACTCACAATATAAACAAACCATAAACATAATCAAAATAAATATGAATTGGATTTCAATTAAATTAAATATCTCATATTGCATTCTACATATACAAAATAATGAAAATAAAAACTCACAATATAAACAAACCATCAATATAATCAAAATAAATATGAATTGAATTTCAATTAAATTAAATATATTCTACATATACAAAATATTCAAAATAAATACTCACAATATAAACAAAGGGAGGAGATGGAGTTGGAGCCGCCAGCAGGGGAGCAGCAAGGGAGGAGATGGAGTTGAGGGTTTGGGGGCAGCAGCAGCAAGGGAGGAGAGGAGTTGAGGGTTTGGGGGGATTGAGTTAGGGTTGGAGGATGAGAAAACAAAAAAAATTGGGGCTTTTGGATTGTATAGGAGTCGGGTAGGAAGGCTGGGACTGGGGGGGGACACGGTGGGAATTTCTTTTTTTTTTTTTTTTTGTTCGGCCTAGCCCAAAACGACGCCGTTTTGGCCAGGTCATTTAAAAAAATTTCCTGGGCCAAAATGACGCCGTTTTGCCCGTCTGTTTTGAAAAAAAAGAAGCGCGCGCGAGCGCTGCTTCTTCTTCCTCTTCCTGCCGAGTCTTCGTTCAGGCTTTTTGTCGAACAGTTGGCGTGCGAGTCCGACCCCGACGACCCGAGCTCCAAGAGGTCGCATATGGGAGCTTCAAGGTTGTTTCCATGGTTTCCAAGGGGTCGTGTGACCCCGACGACCCCGCTGTGGATCCGCCACTAATTACATCCAGTCTTATTCATTTCAAAACTTCTCTACATGAACTCGTGTGTTAGCATATAGTGATGTGCACTTGAATTACTGATGAATTATGTTTGATTTCATACTTATATGTAGTATGATTTTCTAGAAACTATACTTGTTTTACGGCGAGGGGTATAATATGTTATGAAAATAAACGTGTTTCTCAAACCTTTGTTTTTGCCCACTCACACTTTCTCCCAGACTTAGTTAGCTGAATTTTTTGTGGCAAACGAGAGATCTCTGGTGATTCTGACATCCACCCCATTATATGTAAAAGTTTATTTCCGGTTGTGTAATAACTATCTTAATTAGGTTCGACTGCTGTACTTATGTCGTACTGTCAGCCTATGCTCTAACTACTTGTGTAATATGGGTTCTTCACACTACTGCGCACCCTCTTTATTAGCTTAAATAAATTCTAACTTCGGTTTAAATTTATCCATATTTTTCACCTCACCTACCTTTTGGTTACATTACCTTCTAGTGTCGATCATCATGCCTTGACTCCGGTTGAGGTGTGTCATCAACCCACCCTCCTCCCTTAGTGTAAATAATATTTTTTGTTCAAAAAAAAAAAAAAGAACGCACGAATTTAGGAAATTGGAATCGGCTTCTAGAATTTGCCCAAGCTAGGTCAGTTGTAATGGTCAAGGCTCCGGGATGATTTACAAAAATTAAAGGTTTTGGTGAAGTAATTGATTAAGTCTAGGTCACCCATGGAATGAAGTTTCAACTGACGATAACATTTTAAAACATTTTCCCGTGTCATTCATGATTTCAAAAGGGTGTTAGTCCTTTCCGTGGTTCTGAAGATCTCATCGCCACTCAAGTTAATGGGGATGGGAAGGTAGTTTTCTGTGCTGTTTCTTAGTTAATGTTCTTTCTACTGGAAGTATTTATTCCCATTCTTCATCATTTTCGTTCCATATTTCACGTACTCAGATATACAATGAAACAATCAAGAGATGAAGTTCAATTAGGCAGTCATGTCAAAAAGCAAATGTGGTTATCAATCTCATTGGTATGCATTCTTCAGTTATGACTTTACATGTTAAAGATCCATAACTCTTTGGCTTCAAATGAAGGAACACTTTGTAGCTTGGCAGGGAGGATTATGAGACGAGAAACTTGTAGCTTTGAGGAAGTGAATCATTCCATGGCGCAACAACTGCAACGGTAGTATCCTGCGTTGACATTCATGACATTATTGTTATTCCTGTGCTGCTTCTGATCCTAGTGCCTTCTTCTCTCTTAAAAATTGATTTTTTAAGCATATCCTTAAAAAATGGTAAAAATGTATCAAGATTTATATGCAGCAGCTGTTTTAGCCTGCTACAACTGAAATTTCTTTCAGATACGGAAGTGTCTTTTAGGATCTGAAATTCTGTTCATATCTGATTAGTGGTAAAAAAGTTGGATGTGATTATTGTTTTGTGTAAGAAATTTGTTCTTCTTTTATCTTTATATTTCTGGCAGATTTCCAAAGAACATGGGGGTATCATGAGATTCATTCAAGTTTTCTTGCTTGGGGCATCTTCCTCATCTCCTCCAGATTTTCTAAGGACTAAAGCTGCTGCAGAGGAAGCTGTTTTAAGTGAATTGCCTGAGGTAGATTTAGTGCTTTGATTTCACGTAAGTAGGCATGATCTCAGGAGCAGTGTCTACATTCGCTTTTTCATCAATAGGCTACCATTTTGAGACCTGCTGTGATGGTTGGTACCGAGGATCGGATTTTGAATCGCTGGGCATTTTTTTGCGAAAAATATGGCTTTCTTCCGCTTATTGGGGATGGATCTACCAAGTATGTCTTCAATCTATCATTTGAAAAGTCAGTTAATTTTAATTTTTCAATTTGTGTAATTTAAACATTTTGCTCATGCACATGTTGTTGATTCCAACCTGTATGCAATAACTTGTATGCAGATTCCAACCTGTATATGTTGTTGATGTTGCTGGGGCAATTGTGGCAGCTTTGAAAGATGATGGTACCAGCATGGGAAAAGTTTTATGAACTTGGTGGGCCTGAGATCTTTACAATGCATCAATTTGGTAATTTCTCATCTGTTTTATGTGAAGTTGTTTTGCATTGATATGGAATTTCTCTTACTAAGCATCAAAAGACTGCAGGCAGAGCTTATGTTTGATACAATCCGTGAATGGCCCCGCTACGTGAAGGTTCCTCTCCCAATTGCAAAGGTATGCAAGTGTGTATTTGGATGCCAAGTGTAACTGGACGTGACAGCAAACCCAAAAACCCCACCCCCCAGACCACCCCCCTTTTCAAAAAAAAAAAAAACACACACACCAAAATAAGTGTAATGTTGTTATTCAAACTTCGTTTAGTGATCATGTCGTGTGAATATTTTATGACCATGTTAGTTGTATGTCTTCATACCCTAGGTGCATACCTCTCTTCTCTTTTAAAATTAATTATGTCTAATTGACCTCCAATGTTTATGGATTTGATTGTTCCAGGCAATGGGAGCTCCACGAGAAATATTGCTTAACAAAGTTCCATTTCCATTACCTAATCCCGAAATCTTCAACCGAGATCAGATCCTTGCCCAAGCTACAGATACACTCGTGTCAGAAAACGGTAACTTCGACAAATTTTAGGATGTGATAGTTCCTGCTTCCCCATTTTCTTATCCATGGTTGGTTTTTCTCACTTTCCTCAATTTTGTGGTGGGGCTTGTAGCTTTGAGTTTCAATGATCTTGGACTTGTGCCCCATAAGCTGAAGGGTTACCCTATTGAGTTTCTTATCCAATTTCGCAAGGGTGGGCCCAACTACGGTTCTACTGTCAGTGAAAGAGTTTCTCCAGATGCTTGGCCATAAGTCCCAGGCTTTCTAATTTTCAAATGCTTTTCAAGTCCAGGAGTTCAACCCACTTGGAAACTTGGAATCAGGTTAGGGTCGCAGGACGTGTGTTTTATCTTTTTATTTATTTATTTTTTTCTCTTTTCTGATCCAAACTTCTGTTTCCGTTTCTCGTGGGTATTTCAGAACAATTGTACTAATACTAGGGTTGTCTACTATTTGTACGACAGGTTTTCAGAGGGTGTGGGTTTGCTTCTTTTGAGAAATAGTAGGAAGAAATAAAAGATATGGAGAATGATTCTTTTCTAGTTTTCATATCTGTAATATTTGACCGAATTTCGACCATTTGTAATTTCAAACGCATCTGGCATCATTTTGTTGTGCTTGTTCATAAGCCCTGTGCCATGAAGGGAATTTGATGCATCTTTTTCATCTGTTTTTGCTTAACGGACGTCCTGAGGTAGTGGGATGGGAAAAATGATGGAGTTTTTGTTGTCGTTAATTTTACCCTTCATTTATTAAATTTATA